AATTACCTGTATCACTTTTTTGTATTTTTATTTAAATTCGAATAAATTGAAATAATAAAAAATAAAAAACTGCTGACGTCAGTTAATTTTAAACTCATTTTAAGGTTAAAAATTTTGTTTTTTTATAATTTTACAGCTGAGGATGCTGGTAACCATAATCCAGCAAAAATTTCTAATAATAAATTACTAACTGTATTAAGAGAATTTGTATTATTTGATGTTTTCTTACAAATATGACATTATACACAAATTGTTATATTTGGAACATTATCATATATATATGTTATATATATATATATATATATATATATATATATATATATATATATATATATATATATATATATATATTAGGGCTGTACCGGATTTCGGCTCCGGCTCCTGCTCCGGCCGAAATCCGGCCATATTTACAAATCCGGCCCAAATCCGGCTCCGGCAAAAATTTAGCAAATCCGGCATAATTTTAGCCGAGTTTTGAATTTTGTCAAATATTTATTACATTTTTTTTGCCCGTGTTTACATGTATACCTAATATTTTATTTATAAAAATCAATTTTTTTTGTAATTCTATATTTTATGAACCTCATATTTGTTTTGGTATTTGTATTTATATTTCATTATAATATAATAAGCTAAGTCTAATTTAAAACAACAACGCAACAAAAAATTCTGAAGGGAAGACACACGATATTCTAGAATGATGCAGGTATAAAGACTATGATGTCAACCCTAATCAAGTGATTGGATGAGCGTTTTAAAAGCATTGAAAAGAGAAACCTCTTTATATACTGACGAGGCTGGTTGACTCACAATTTAAAACTAAATTCTCCTCATTACAGGCAACACTGACAGCTGAAAAAACAAGATTGAAGTCAATCTGAGCATGCTGAACAGAAGATTAACAAAACTGAAGAAAATCCACCAAAATAAGCCGGGCTTAATAATTTTTTTACATCATCATCATCATTACTCTGGCAATTTATTGATAAAATTATTCAGTCTACGTCCGCTGGTGGCAGGGCACATAAACAACAATTACTAAAAGGCATTGAAACTCAGCTAAGGAAATATCCGAAAGAACCAGAAATAAATAGACACAATGATCCACTACAGTGGCGAAGTGACAAAATCCCGGAAAAAAAGTTCAATAGAATTACCATAAACTTTTAAAACATATGGCCTATAGAATTTCTTTAGAATTTCTATTAGTTTATATATAGAAATTGCTATAAAACGTTTTAAATAACAACAATGAAGTTTAACAGAAAACAGCAGTCACTTGGTATTCTGAATAGTCCACATTGTTGACTATGCTCAAAACCAATTAGGGATGTACAGGATTTTGGCTCCTGTAGTTTTGTTTTGAAATCCGGCTCCGGCTCCGATTCCGGCCGGATCTGTCAGTAGAAATCCGGCAAATCCGGCTCCGGCCGGATTTGAAAAAATTAAATCCGGTACAGCCCTAATATATATATATATATATATATATATATATATATATATATATATATATATATATATATATATATATATATATATATAACACTAAATATATATATATATAACACTAAATATATATATATATAACACTAAATATATATATATATATAACACTAAATATATATATATATATAACACTAAATATATATATAACACTAAATATATATATATAACACTAAATATATATATATAATAAGTATAAAAATTTCTACATATATACCAGGCCTTGTTTTAGATAACAAATACTTAACACATGAGCTTAATGTGAATTTGACTTCATAAAATTCTCTTTATCTTTTTTTTTTTTTTTCTTTGACATTAATTTTTTCAAATTACTGCAATAATATTAAGATTACCGCAAAACGAGTTAAATATTGTTTAATTCGTTTTTTATAAATACTATTACAAAATTTTTTTTTCTTCCTTTTTTTTTTTTTATATTAAATAATTAAATTTGATTTTACATTAAAAAAAGAACTTTCATGTAAAAAAAAACTTTTCTCGACATTCGTATAAATGAATTAAAATATGTTAATTTAAAAAAAAAAATAATTAACATATTTTTTAGTCATTAAAAAAAAGTTAAGTTGCACATTTTTTTTAATCATTAAAAAAATTGCAACTAAAAAAGATTTTTTATTTTAAAAAAATTAGCGAGTAACAAATAAAAAAATTACATTAATTTATTTACCTTTATTTATTAAAAGTTTATTATTTTATTAGCAAAAGATTTAAAGCGAAGACTATTTTTCCAAATACCATTTGTTAAAATTATAGTATTGTATATCATGTATCAAAAAATAATTACTGCACTCTACTTGCGTTATAAAAATAGTTTAACTTATGTTTTGAGCAAATTCTTGATACAGCCTCCGAGCGCATTTATTTAATATTTAATTTTGAGTAAAAAAATGATTAGGAAAGAAAACCTTGAAATAACTGCAAGCTATTTTTTTTTTAAGAATAAATAAAATTTAAATATTTAACAATATTTAGAAGAATATTTGGAAGACTAGCACTTCTCCTTTTTAGAGAAGATAAAGGTACAACAACTATTTGCATCCCTTGGGCTTATCATCATGATTGATAGCTAAGGTATATATTGTTCAAAAAGTTTTGGTTTTTGTCATCAGTTAAATGTCACAGAGAAAGAAATTGGAATTTTAAGGAGAACATGTCTCTTCATAACCACAATATATTTGTGTTTCTGGTTTTCAGCTGCTATTACAACAGAAGTGCCAAAAAATTATCTCCTTCTTTTAAAGTTAATCAAGAAATATTGTCTAGTTGACAAAAAAATTTCAGGTGTTGCAAAAAATAAAATTAAACTTCAGTTATGGTATGAAAGGGAAGCTCTAGCAGTACTACCATTATATAGTGATAAAACTTCTGTTTTATCACTAAATAATGGTAGAAAACTAAAGAAAAAATAGAAATGCTACAAGCCTTGCAAAAAAATCCATTACCAGGTAATAAGAGAAGACTTGCTCCAAACAAGATTTATCCTGTTTCTAAACTCTTGCTATAAAACTTGGGCTATTTATGATGACTACAAGGTGTGTGTAAGCCATGAAAGTGGTTAACTACTGTGCAGTACAGGGAGTTAAATTAGCCACTGAATTTAATGAGGTTTTGACAAAAAATGATAGTCTATGTTAGCTTCTCTAGCAAGCAGTTGAGTATCATAGAAAAATTTTTTAACTGAAGCTACAAAGAGACAGTTAAGCAATAATCATAACAAATACAACAGTTAAAAAAACTAAAGAAATGTTTAAAAATAAGGAGCCTTTTTTAATATTTGGAATACCCTTTTTTTGAAAGCCCCACCACCACCATCACTCCCCCAAGTTACCCTTGCTACATAGATTCATATACTTGTCTTCACCCAAATAAGTAAAACTGATGCATGTAACACCAGGCTTTCACAGGAAGACGTGCGATTTCATGTCTTTATATGACCACGCAAAAAAAAAATGTTTTAAGGATTTGACCACGGCATGTTTTTAAAATTTAAAAACGCGCTACAAAAACTTATCTGAAAAAAAAATTTAAAAAAATAATAAATATTAATGAAAGAGAAAATAAAATAAAAAAATACTTAGTTAAAGCAAAAACACACAAAAATAAATATATATATATATAACGCAACTAAAACAAAACTCATCAAACTAAAATGCTTAGTCTATTTAATTTACGCATTAAAAAACCTTTTTAATCTTTGTTTCAACATTTTTATATATTTTTTATTTGTTTAATATGTTCAAAATTAAATATTTCTCATAAAAAATACATAGTTATATAAATAAAATAAAAAAACATTTTATAGATACTTTTTTTTAAATTAATTAGAAGTGTTTTTTTTTTTTTTTAATTCATTAAAAGCGTTTCGATAATAAAAAAGCATTTAAGATCAAACTTATTAAATTGTAACAGTTTTCTAAAACTTTTTTTTTAACGAAATTTTGTTTATCTTTTTAAATGCATTAACTTTAATCATTCTTATATTTAAATTCGTTAAAGAGACTTTCGTAGTCATAGAATGTCATCGTTTATATAAACAAAACAATTTTTTATTTTTTAATAAGATTTATTTTAGAAATGAACACTTAAACAATTTATATGTTTTAAATTAAAAAAATATACACAACTGTCATTTATATTTAAAAACCAAAACTTTTTTTCAGTAAATTGTTACTTTATTTAAAATCGTTTCGCTAATATAAAAACATTTGTTAAGAAGTTTTGATGTAATTAATTTCACTTTTTTAGAATATTTTTTATTTAGCGCGTTTCTAAGATGTTATTTGAATTAGCCACGGTCAAACCGTCATAGCAAAATGTAACTTGCGTGGTCATATAAAGACATGAAATCGCACGTCTTCCTGTGAAAGCCTGTAACACTGACAATAATTGATTTTAATACTTTTCAGAAATATGCCATTTTAGTCAAAAACGGGTCTCAAAAGAGCTTAAAAAGCAGGTCCATGTCCTGGCATCTCTAAACTGGGTCTAGAATGGGCCATTGTTATATACAATTATATATATGTCTTCACCCTAATAAGTAAAACTGATGTATGTAACACTGACACTAGTTCATTTTAATACATTTCAGAAACACATGATAAAAACAATGTGTATATATACATATACATATATATATATATATATATATATATATATATATATATATATATATATATATATATATATATATATATATATATATATATATATATTCCTGCAAATTTATTTCAACTAAATTGACATAAATAAACTAAATTATCCAAATAAATTTAAAAAAAAACTTATAATAATTTATTACATAAATTTTAAAAGTAAAATTAGCTAAATAGGACAGCGTTGATTCAATGCTAATTCTCTAAATAATTTTCAACTAATTTTCAAAATGTAGGTAACTATTATAAGATTTTTTTGTTTAATTATAGTAATAATTATTTCTTAACACATTATAAATATTAAATTTTTGTTTTAAGATATACCATTTCTTTAAGTTTTTGAATTGTTTCTACTGCTCCTTGAATTATCCCATGACTATTCCATAGAACACCTTTTCAAAAGAAAGAAAGAAATATGGAAGTAATGAAAAAAGTTTCTTACAGGCTTTTTTAATGTTTTTTACATTACATTGGTTAAAATTTCATTACATTATAAGTTTAAGGGTAATACCACCACACGATAACAAACAAGGGATTCTAATTTATTAAAAACAGTATTTTATTTCAAAAATATATTGAAAATATATTTTTGAAATAAAATACTGGAGAGCTTTTCTCTGCAATCTAAATATATATATATATATATATATATATATATATATATATATATATATATATATATATATATATATATATATATATATATATATATATATATATATATATATATATAATAACTATAAAAAATATATGGCATTCATTAATACTTTATATAAAAAATCATTACTATGTATTTTTTTTCTTTTCAACTAAACTTTTCTTCTTTTCAAGTATATTAACTTTATTGATTCTTATATAAAGTTCATCAAAATGACAATTGTTTTTTTAAATCCGAATCAATTAGATAATATAGTAATATAGAAAATATAATAAAGTTGTTGGTTTTTTTTTGAGATTCAAAAACACAGCTTTAATAATTATAATTATTAATAATATTTAAAGATAAATACTTACCATCACAATCAAAAAATATTGTGGCAACGCTATTCAAAAGCTTTCCTATATCTTTTTTAAGCAATCTTCCCATTTTTTTATTATAAGTAAATTGTAATGTCTCTAAAAATTAAATAAGAATAACAAATTAGATTCATGAGTTTTTCTTTAAATTTGAACAATCAATGGTGATTAAAAGCATTAAAATTAGTTATGTTTCATTAGTTGTTTTAAATTTTATTAACTATTTAACTACCACTTAATATTTGTTGGTGCATTGTTTTAATAAACTCAAAACACATAATAATAATCATAATTTAATGATAGTAAAATTTGGTTTAACTAAAAATGAATTATTATGTTATTTGTCAATACAATCATCACTTATTACCAATAATCAATTACTATGTTATTTCTTAATATAATCCTCACTTACTTAATTCTACTCACTTCAAAATGTCAACTAAAAAAATAAAACCATACAAGGAAGATGAAATACTACCCACATTAACTGATATAAAAGAAAACAATACATCACTGAGAAAAGCCGCATTCAAATATGGCTTTTCAGTCTGAAACACTCACAACACGGAAAGACTTGAGTTCAAATCCCACTACTATACAATTGAGCAGCCGTAGTGGAGTGGTTAGCATGCTTTCCTCAGAAGCTAGAGATCAGAGGGCAAGTTTTATAACATAGGTAAGGAAGGAGGCATGAGCTTCTTTTCAAATGCTCTTCTGAGATGCTCTGTGAGAAGACTATAAGGACTTCTTGGAGCACTTAAAAAAAAAACTCAGGTCAACAACAGTACTATCAAACAAAACAGAAAGAATGATATGTTCCAATCACTTGGTGACTGAGATTATGGTTTAACTTGAAATGAACTCCTCTAATTTGTAACTGGCTACCTTAAATGTGAAGATCAATTGCACTTATTCAAAAATGACAAGCCTGGCAAAAACTGTTGTTATGATTTTAACAGAGCGGCTTCTTGTACGTCAGAAATTATTGATTGTTATTTTGAACGCGACGCTAAGCAATACAAAAAACAGTTGTTATGTGTCAAAAAGGGACAAGACATGCTATTAAACTTACTGGCAACAAAAAATATTTAATTATACTGTGAACAATTGCTATAACACTGATAAGCGTTTTAAGAGAGTCAATGCTTTGCATTAAGTTTTACAGCTTCTTTTGTAGCTTTTTCTTCATCTTTCTGTTTAAGGAAATTGATTACATTTTCTTTGGTAATACATTTTTTGCCAAGTTTTTACAACGCTCAACACATACTTGATACCTATTAAAACTCAAAGCTGGCGTAGTTGATAAAAATGGTAATTGGTGTGTAGCTGAAGTAGGTGCTGAGGCGGCTGTTAAAGATGACGATGCTTTGACTGAGCAAGATGGTACAGGAGCTGTCAAGGCTGCTAAAGATGATGATGGTTAACTAAATGTTTTTGTGATTGCTAATGCATTATGATTTGTTGCCACTCTGGTACAGCAGTTTGAGCAAAAGTGGAAAACTTTATTTATCTAAATTCTTGTATTTTAAGTCTTTGCATTTTAATACTTGCTAAGAATTTCTTTCCAAACTTGTTTGACATGGCAATAGACATCTCTATCCAATGGTTGTACAACAATGTGAAGAATGCTTTAATAGACAAATTAAGATTATATTGTGTTTTTTGCACAGCAATACTGCTTTCAAAATCGTGTGAGTTGTATGGTCATCTAGTACTAAAATATGAATACCACTGATTTGCTCATTTTTGTGTATAAACACTTCTCCTAGCCATTCGTTAAATGTATCATGCTTCACCCAACTTGATTGTAAAATTAAATATTTGATGCCTACTGGACCACTGTTAGTCTTGAATTTTTGCTACAATCTACTTGCACAATCTTTTGCTAAAATTTACAACTATCTTAGCAATAATATATTATGCATACAGCCTATTGTTTTTGAAATAAACACAATACTTAAAGGTTAGCTTAAAGTTGAGAATGATTTGACTATTGAAATATTTTAATGTGGTATAAAGTTTATTAAAAAATAGTTATTAAACTTAAATCTTACTTGAAGATAACTTGCTAGTTTACAAATGGTAACAAAAAATGTATTGCAGGAACATTTCAATGCAATAAATCCAGCAATCATTGTAATAAAAAAAATGTAATCCTGAGACAATTATCCATGATTTTGAGAATTACTCAGTATCTAGGTTGTTGAATCACAAACTGAGAAAAGACTATATGTATAAATATTTAACTAATTATTTAAATTGGTCAAATATTTACATTAAAACTTGATTCTTCTCTGGACAGTTTTAAATTTGTCTGCAAGATTTTTTAAAAAGCAAAAAATAGTGATGAAAAAAGTGATGAAATGTTATTAATAAACAAAATGTGGAAAAACCCCTCTTATATACTGTTTAGGAAATTCTGAAAAGTTAAAAAATAAATCTATTTCATTAGGTTTGCATAGGCCAACAATTATTATAAGTTTTATGCTGGTTTCAATTTACAGTAGTTAAAAATATTTATCAGGTTTCCAGTAGGTCAAACGACATTAACAATACAATTTTAAACTTTTCTAGAAGAGAAAGAGCATCATTAGAAGAACCAGTACAAATATGACAACAGTATTCAACACAGGGAGAAATAAGAGATTTTGTAGAAGTAGAGAATGGAATCGGAAATAAGGAAACGACAAAGCAGCATCTACTAATGCTGGCTCTCTTTTCAATGAATTGTATATATGGTTTCCATGAAAGGTCAGAAGTGAATGATAATACAAAAAGCTATAAGGTAGAAGATTGAGTGAGAGTGTTGCGATTCATCAATATAGGATTGTCAACAATATTATGATAATATTTTGCAGATAAACAGATTTGTTAGAAGAATGATCAAATTCAAAATCTGCTGTTTTAAGCGATTAAAAGGATAAAACTTTTCGATTGCTTAAAACAGGCAGCAAGATCATTGATGTATATAAGAAGCAATAGAGAATCAAAGGTAGAACTTGTAGTACCCCAGATACTATTAGAAATGAAGAGTGATTTAACTATTTCAAAAACTTTTCCAGGTACAGCATAAGTAGCAAGATTATAAAAAATACCAGCATGCTAATCTATCATGAGCAACAGCTAATGTCTTACTGTCATTTAATGTATGACAAAACCTTTCTGTTACAAAGTCAGTCATGAAACAAGAAGATATAAATCTGTACTGATATTCAGAGTAAGTTATTAGACTTAAGATGAGATATTAGAAAGTTGTTGACAGCATGATGCTGATGTCAACAACTTTCTAATATCTCATCTTAAGTCTAATAACTTACTCTGAATATCAGTACAGATTTATATCTTCTCTACATGTTTCTGATGCTGACAACATCAGAAACATCACAAAGAAAACTACAAGTCAGCTTTATGGTAATATTAGGTAGAGCAATTATAGGGTGAGTCAAAAGAAGAAGTATAAGATAAGAATTTAGAAAGATCACAGCATGATCAGAACCACCTAAAAAAGAACAAGGAGAAACTGAACACAAGCTATGGTTAGAAAAAAGACACAAATCAATTAATAGTGGTAGTGATTAAGGTTGTCTGGAAAACAAATCACAAAGTTAACAATGAGATTGAGAAATAGTGAAGTTTTTTAGTGTGATAAGGAATTTAAGTTCACCAATAACAACAATATTGGCTAAAGGAAAAAGAGGAAGTCAATTTGATCAGAAACTACATCTAAAAGAGTGCAGTCTTGATAAAGAGAATGATAAAAACAAAGAAAAAAGTGATTAAATGAAGAGGTGCTACATAGCAGATAGGTTAATTGATTGGTAAACATATACCCAAGTCATTCATATTGAAGCCTTTACAAACAAAGGACATCAGCCACCAACACTGAGATCCAAAGACGAAACAGTTAAATTCAAATTAGTCTCACAAAGAGCAAGTAAGTCTGTTGAACTTTGCAAGAGATAAGATTTAACTAATAAAAAGTTATTTTGAAGAGCACAAATACTTGTAAAAGATAGATTGAATAATAAAGTAGTGTTTATGGTTTTTATGTTAAATATTTTAAAACATATGTCATTTTTAGGTTAAAGAGTCGGTCTCAATTAAAAATAGAGCATGGCATCCTAAGCAATGAGTTGTGGAGTAGCCTCAGCCCTGCTTACTAATCTAAAGTCATAATTAAGAGCTCCTGATATAGCCTCAATAATGCACATCAAAAGCACTAACAGAGGATACCATCGATGCGCAATATGGCACTATTAATACTCAGATATTTTATAGTTGTTGATGGAATCAGCTTCTCTGAGAGTTACCACAGAGTTCAAGAAACCTTACTACCAGCTGGCTTCACAACAATTAAACTGAGTTTTAGAGCTGCACTCTCATTTAGGAGATAACAGAAGGAGTTGCATAGCCATATCAAGGAGACACAAACAAAAACCTATGAGAAGATTCATTATTTATCATGCTAGGCAGGAATTAATGTAGTACAGGTTTATCTCTAGGCCAGCCTAATAGATGAAAAAGGGGTGCAAGGATGGTCAAAAGAATTATTCTGCTTAACATTCAATTTTTTGCCTAGGAGGTCATCTACAAAACAATAGCAGGTTGGAATTAAGATCTGCTTAAGTTAAGTTTTTTATAAAAAACATTTTATCTAGCTTTTACTCAACCAAGACCAATTTTGTCAAACTTTAATCGATTCAAACTTCAAATCAAAATTTAACCAATTTGGTGATATTCTAGGCTAGAGTTAATTTTTCTGAGTCTTTGCCTAGGAGCAAATTTTAAGTAAAAATTTTTAAGCAAATCTCAGGATGAGGCATGTTGTACTTTAATAACATTTTACCAGTAACCGGGTGATTGTGGTGATCCTAAATCTGGCCTCCAAGCCAGATTTAATCCAGCGATTAATTAAAAGTAGTTACCTCTGAAAGCACTATTCTAACATATTGAATAGGAGATTTTGGATATGCAATTTAAAAAATTTTCTGGTGCTGATCAAACATTTTGTTTTTTGAATAGCATTTCTTATTTTGATTTAGATATGCAACTCATTTTTCTCCATCACGTCAAGTTGTAAAGACATTTGGGTTCAAATC